AGCTTCTTAAAAGGGTTAATCTCCAGTTGATAAGTCGTTGAGCCAGTTTAAAGTAGATTCCTTCAACATTATAAAAAAATAAATGACTCTTTAAAGCATTGTTTACTAAAAGTAAGTATACCATTGATTTAAAGGAGATCTCGTTGTCAGATGAATCTGACCTTTCTTTGTCAATTTCAGGGATAGAATCTTAAACTTCCTTGAAGCTTCTGCTTCTATGATCTTCATTAAGAATTTATTCTCCAAATTTATTTTATTGTTTCTCCTTCTCCTAGCTCCTTCATTTGAGGAATCTGAAACTTCTCCTTCTAGAAAATGATGCTCGTTTCTTCCTTCTTCTTCTGGTCTTAGATCTAGAGCTCTTCCTGGTATCACTCTCAGTGAGTCTTACATGGATAGTGCTTGTTTAGATACCTCTCATACATTTTAGATTCTAAAGGTCTTATATGCACTACTGTTTAGAATCGAGATTCAGAAACTTCATTCATACCCTTGAATCATCGTTAACATTTGCTTCATTAACTGATTCATTCATTCCCCCATGAAATATATAGTGCAGTTCATCGCTTTTCTTCATCTTGTCTCCCCGTAGAGGTTTATTTGTTGAGTTTTTCTATGAAATCTACACTCATCACACCTTTTAAGATGTTGAATTTTTTTAGGACATTGAGTCCTGTATTGACCGTGAGTTCACTCAATCCGAGAGAAACCAATATAGGGAGGGCGAAAGTGAGAATAAATTGGTTCTCTAGGCCTGAACTATCTATTCTTACAAAGATCCTTTCTTAGAAGAATGAAAAAGTTGATTTAGCAAGCAAAAAATAATGAGAGAAGAAGTATGAAAGCCCCCTGATAAACCTAAAATATATAGTGTTTCAAAACTATTATTATGTTCTTAAATAAAATAAAATTATCAACTCTTTACTTTGGTAAAGGAAGAGTGGAATTCAAAACCATTAAAGATCTATCCAAATATAGTAATATTTGCCTGAAAAAGAAAAAGAAAAGAAAAAAAAAGAAAAGAAGAGAAAAAGAAAAAGAAAAGAAAATAAAAGAAAAGTTGAAAAACGGAGGAGAAGATTGAGGATTAGAGCCAAATCAAAAGTTGGTTCCACATCTGATCTTTTTAAAGTATAAGACTTGAGAAACTATTAAGCTTAAGGATTAAATATAATCAATAAAATTATACTTAATAAAAATTTTTAAGTGAAGGAAATAAAATGCTTGAATTCTACATTTGGAAAATCTACAAGTATTTCTGAATTAGACATGGACTCATATTTTTCATACTTCTTCACTTTAAGGGTTTCTAAACTTTAAGTTGGTCTAATTCACTAGAATTTTTTCTAAATTAAACAATTATATTTTTATAACAAAATTTTAGAAACTCCTAAACAAACTCATATACATAATCATACTTATTTGGTTTTTAAAGATGGAAAAGTCACTCGAGGACAAGTAACATTTTAAGTTTGGGAATTTTGATACACCTAAAATATATATTATTTTTAGACATATTTTTATACCTATTTTTGAGATATTACACTTTAATGGAAGGTATTTGTGTGTTTTTCTTTCAGATAGAACTAAAAAGGTGAAAAATGATAAAAGGAGTGAAAAGGGATTAAATTTGGAGCAAAAATGCAAAAATGGTGCAAAAGTATTTTGACGCTTAAGTGCCAGAACCGACGCTTAAGCGCAGGTGAAATAGAGAAGGCTGCGCCTAAGCGCTAGAGGCCTTGGGCTTAAGCGCCAATGACAGTTACTTGACGAGTTAATGCATTTTGACGAATTTTGAAGGGACATTTGATGCACCTATTGGCTAAAATGAGTGGTAATAACCACCAATGACGAAAATATAATTAAAGAACTTGTGAAAGGTGACATCCCTTGGTAAATACATTGGATCATGACGCATTTTGAAGAGATTCCATGACACCTCTTGAAAAATTATAAATGAAGGAAGTTGAAACTCTTAGAGGAGTCCTGAAAAAGAGTCCTGAAGTGTTCTAAAAAGTTTTTGAAGAAGTTCATGGAGAAGCTTTTGGAGAAAATTTCAGGCACCACCACCACGCTTTTGGAGAAAATTTCAGGCACCACAAATTTATTTTTCCTTTTATTTGAGTTAAGAGTGTTGTAAGTAAGAGTGTTGTAAGAGAGTAGAGATTCAAATGAACTTCAAGAGTTTGGTGGAGGATTTGAGATAAGTTTTTATCTTTGATTTGAACTTCTTTTGATTTAAACTACTTCTAGTTTTCTTTATCTTTCTGCTTAAAATGATAAGTAATTAAAATGTTGGATGGAAATTGTGGAGAATATTAATCTTTAATGTTAGAACAAGTTATGATGATTTAATTCCATGCACTTCATTTACATCTTGATCTGGCCTATCTAGATGTTAAAATTTGTTGTGAGAACATGTAAGAATCAGACTGGTATTATCTCAGTCAACAATTGGAAAGAATCACATGAGATTGCATGAATGAGAATGTAGTTCATATGATTGAGTGTAAATAAATAGAGAAATAATCTTTGAAGGGTGTAGAGTTAGAGGACTTTAGAGTGACAGGTTAAAGCCCCCAACTTTGTTAATTGTTTTAGGTTTTCATACGAGATGTTAGCCCCCAGGTGGAGGGAACTCTAGAGTGAGAGCTAGTATCTTCCCTGCATAACCGGTCTTCAGAACTATTCAAACATTAAATTAGCCAATATTCTTTATAGCATCTCTAGTAAGGGTAAAAAATATTATTGTTCTTATTTGACACAATATAATTTGAATACTTCCACAACAGAATTCCTATACTTATTACTGATTCATGATAAAGAGAAAGATATTTCTTATTCAATGCTTTTCTTTTACATAAACTCAAGTTATCTTTATTAAGTTTTTATGTCATTTTCAAACATTAAAAATACCAAAAAAGAGTTTAAATTTTATTCATGTGATAAAAAGTATAGTTTAAATATTTGTCTTTTTAAAGTAGAAAGTTTGTTACTTTAATTATCACATACTGTGAACAATCCCTGTGGGTTCGATATTCGGGACTTACTTAAAAAGTCCTATATTACTTGATAATGATACGTATACTTGTGTAGTATCCCAATATATATTAAGTTAAAAGTTAAATTCTTATTTTCTCCATGATCAAATTTTTGGCACTGTTGAAAAGGAGAGATAAGTGAAAAATATAATCAAATACTTTGTTATACTGTTGCATACAAACAGTCGGGATCACCCCCTCAGTTATAGCGTGAGATTTTCAAAAAGGCCTAAGATTTAATCTCTTTTACCTCTATTTATATATGTTCATAAAATTATTAAAATATGGGCCATGGTGTCTAAAATCTGCTTATGCTGTCTCGATGAAGAGATTGCGACGTGGATGTCTGACATCTCATAAATGAGGATGTGACATAGGTTAATCTTTGATGACGATCTTGATGTTTTGCAATCTATCGATTTTGAGGATTACTTTTGAGGCGAGCTTGATTGATGAATGTGATTGATCAGTTCGGTAGATGAATCCGCCAGGTTAGTCTGCGAGATCAATATGGCAATTAGTTCGTCAGATTAATCTAGTTGGTCGACCCACTAGGTCAATCCAACAAATTAGCTCAGCAACTGATACAAGATGGTAGTCACATCGTTGAGTGGGTTTAGTGGGCCACCTTTGCATATTATTCAATAGATGGATATATCATACCCATGAGGCCCGCTAGTCGTGTTATTGGCCCAACAAAAAAAAAAGATTTTTGATATACAAGTTTTTTATTTTATTTTATCTTAAAATTTGAGTGCTATTTTATTATTACTATTTTATTTATGTTAAAGATTTGAGTGCTATGCTATAAATATTAAAGTGTAGATTTTAAGTCTAAATATGAAAGAATTGTGTGTATGCATGTAAATTTCCCCCTTTTATTTATGTTGTGCTAGTAATATTGGTGTCGGCAGGGAACGTCAATGAGAGTGGCTCGCCATTAGGGTCATGACAGCAATATAGTGGTTGTTGATAGCATTGAAAAAAAAAGAAAGAAGATATGATAAACATTGAACTACAACAATAAATAGCTTGCCACCTGGGGTCATGACAGCAATGTGTGGTGGTTGTTGATATATTATATTTTCTCAAACAATTCTGTGATTTTTATTTTTATTTTTTGGAAAGATATGTAAACATTGAAGTACAACAATAAATAAATTAATTTATTTCATTAAACCTCTCAATCACAACTTTACTTCACAATTTGCAATATTATTATTTTTTCATGATGAACTAATTTAAATAGCAGCAGTAATATGTTATCTAAATAACGATCAATTGAATGTTTTTAAATTATGAATTATCTTTAATTTAATAGCTTAGAAAAAGACAATGTCTTCGTCATCAAATATTATTATAAATAACATGCTAAGAAATAACATTAAAACAAGATTAATTAAAATTGTTTTATTCATTTGACATTTAATATGATATTTTAGGGCGAGACTTGGACAACATTATGACAGCACCTATGTTCCAAGGTATCATATATGAAAATTTTATTTATTTATTTATGTTTTTGGTTTTCACTTATCAAGCATTGGAATCAAATTACAATTATTTTTTTAAATAAAAAGTGATTCTGAATATGTGGTTTTTCAAAGCTTTAAATATCACAGAATGGCAACCATATGTTAAATAAATTAGGCGAATGAGAATCTGAGAATTAAAAAAAAAAGGAAGATTTACACACATACCACACAATTCTTATGCATTCACATAACTAACACCTAAACTAAAATTTCAACATACATACCACCCTTCTTAAGCATTAAAAATGTATTTTACTTTTAAAAAGTTAAATAGCCATAAATTTAATACCATATGAAAGATTAGATTGTAAAAATATATAAAAAAAAAGTTGTGTTAGATATGTAAATACATAAAAATTTTGTGATATGTATGTAAAAGTCCCCAAAAAAAAGTAGCTCACACTAACAAATAAAAAGAAATTTCTTCCATGGAAGAATCAAAAGAAATTCATTTAAAATAATCCTGTAGAATAATATTCCTATACACAACTGCCAAGAACCGCAATACGGGTTCAACAGGGAATACAAGCAATCAAACTCGCTTTTATCCCCAACTATGACTAACCAATTCTATTCTATCTATTTTCTAACATTTTTTTTAAAAAATTGAACTCAGTACAGAAAAATAAACCAGCGCTTGGATGATACGAGATCGGGAAGAAGATCGGTGCAACAGAAGAGATTCCATTCTATCTTCAGCTCTCGTAGCTGAAAGAAAGTCTGAAACCTTCTCAGAAAATCAGCACCAAAGAACAGCTACTCATCAAGATCAATCAAGAAGATATATCCAGATCGTTAAGATCTGGGGGTGATAGAGGGGGAACAGCTGCTTCAGATGTTTGGAAAATCTGGAGGATTTTGCGGTGAGATTGAGATTCAACTGAAGAGATGGTTCCAGTAGTTCTGCCATGGATAGAGGTTGCAAGCACAGAAGAATTCTGGTTCTGAAAGTTTTCCGTCGATGAATGATTGTTTGCTGAGGTAATTGCATGGCTAAAAATGCCGGATGCTTTCAAACTTTGAATAATGGCCTAAGAGATTAGTAATATTTCTCAATATTAGTGAGAAAAAATGGCGTCATTTTAATGAATATTCATGAGCGAATGTTACCATTGGAGCATATATACGAGTCAAGACGCCCTTTCGGAGAAGTTTTAGGTTTAGCTGCCTGTTAGTCCACACAACACGCTCCTGGAACCTGAAAGGAGGACAAAAAAACTCTTCACTGAACCAACAGTTACTCTATTTATAATAAAAATGCATCATAGATGCAATGTTTACCTAAAATTCATTTTAGTTATAAATTATACTGCAAAATGTCACTAAATATACAATAAAATCAAAGAAATTATATAAAACTTGGGGATTTACACGCATGCCACCAAAAAAATTATTATAAAATTACTGCCTAATTTTACACTAACTAGTGAGTAATATTAAAGAAGGATCTACTAGGAAAATCACAAATAAATTTTCTCGAAATTAAAAATAGTGAATTTGGGGTCAACAGCTCAGCCTACTTTTCATGTTCTGCCCCACAATATGATCCCAACATAAACATGATGTTCAGCTTGTTAATGAATTTGAGCTTGTCAGGCTCAATAGTTATAACACGTGAGCCGTGAACCGTGAGCTGAATGAGGATGCAACTGATTTATATTCGACAGATGTACACCTTTAAATGGCGTATACATTAACCTTCTGAACATGGCAAATATACTTAGAAAAAGTTTTCTTATATAAGTAACTCCGGTGTAAGTTTTTTAATCCTGTAACTGGCATTAAAAAATAAGATAAAAATTAACAAAGAAAAAAAAATAAACATTTAGATTAACAGATTAACAATTTTTATTTATATTAGCGCTGAAGTTTCATTTGATGAACTCTGACATTATTAATTTTTCCAAAATGGCATAAATGTCACCTTTAATTTAATCCAATTATCCTCACACTGAATTTTGAAGCCTTCATATTTATTTGTCTCGGCTTAGATATTAAAGGTTTTTTTTTCATTATTAATACAACCAGCACATCTAAAGATGCAGCTTTGACTTTCTGGTTATTACCCTCACAGGACCCTCTAGCTGCTATTCTTTCAAAACATTTCTTTTCCCTGATAATTTTTTGTATCTCTTCACCCCCCCTTAAGTATCCTTGTTTATGTCTACTATAGACTCTCCTAGAACATATAAATCAGTCTTATTAACGTAAGCATTATAATCAACCTCACGATTCAACTTTAAATTCTATTTTCTGTTTTCAACAATCTTGAAGGATTGATAGCATATCTCAAATTAAATTTCTAACTTAATATAGTTTTTTGAATAAAATATTAATTGATGATTGTTGCGAACCAAAAGGTGCTAGACTTAAAAATACAGCTTCATGCATATACCAAGTTCTCTAGCTTCAATACAAATCAATGATAACAAAAGGTACAGTCAGCACTTCATGCTTCTGTAGATTTATGAGGTTACACATCGATCACTAGCTATTTGATTTGCAATAAGCTCTGTAAACAACTAGATGGAGACATAAATCTTCGCATGTAAAAACACTGGTATTGACAAAAACCTTAAAGAAAACAGAGCACTTTGGAGCACTTCTGATACGACTACTTAAGGTGTCCTAACAAAATGCAACTAAAAGTACTGCAAGATTTATACAAATTGAATATTACAAATGCAATTTAAAATATATTAGTCAGATAAGTTAAAGCAAAATGATCTTACAAACTCAAGTCAATATAATAGTGCATTGGCATAAGTATCAGATAGAACTGGAAAAACAAACTTATAAAAATATGTTTTAATAGTCCTCTGATACTTTTGGACATATGGAAGAATAAACCTCAATTTAAAAGCAAAAAAGCTTCTATGAACCTTCGTTACTTTAGGCATATGTGTAGGGATTAACCTTGATTCAAAAAACTATCAGAAGTAGTCCAACTACCACTTTTCTATGCCAAAACACACTATGTAGCAATTGAATTTCAAAGAAGACAATGCCTATCAAAATTTCATAAAAATCTTTGAAATAGAAAGTTTTAGTCAGTTGATAAGATTACCAGTGCAACATTTCCTCTTCTGTTGCAGTTGATGCAATAATGAAAGCCTGATATGAGGAGAAAGAAATCCATACTTAGATTTAGATGAAACTGGAAGTAGCATGCTCAAAGATACAGTCTAGTCTTCCGGATAGTAAATTCATAGCTGAAGCAGCTACTCGAGAATAATAACTTGTAAATCTACTAATAAAAACCAGAAATACATACAATGTAAACAATAACAACACATCAAGATTCATTAATATGAGAAATTCCGTGTGAACCCTTCATAAAAGAGCAGTTAAATCCCTGATTAACAAAATGAATCTAAACCATCTACAAGTAGACTGGAGAAACAACCAAGCATCTGTTGAAAAATTGTATTGCATGTTAAAATATAAAACACTCAGACATCAATCAGCAAATAAGAATGTTAAATTTGGCCCTAAGTTGATGTTACTATGTGCAAGCATTTCACGAGCATTTGAGCTAATGTCAGATACTAGCAAGTGAATAGATAAGCCATAAAATCCCATTTGTTTTTTTAGTATAGGAAATATTGCTATAGAAAAATAATCTATTTATAATTAATAGAGTACGTTTACTTGGTTGTACCTCAGCTCAACATTATATTTACAATAGAGGGATCCTAGATTGAATAATGCATAAAAGAATTGTATTTCTCCATTAACATGGAGCTAGAGGAGTGTTTGCCCTAACCATAGGCTCCCTCCCCTCCTATTTTCAACGCCTGCATGCAGGCACCACTACGCCTTGCTTATGCCTCTTTCTTCCTAACTTAAGCCTCTTTCTTCTTGCTGTTACACACTTGCTACACCCCCACCCCCCCTACCTGCATGCTTGTTTGAACAAGCTTGCCCTAATGCACAATTTACCAACCACAACTTTAGACCCACACCATGTTTATTGCAACCATTCACCGCGCAATTCACATTGTTGTAGTCATTACACTTGCTTCATCTCAACCAGTACTAGGGCATGGCATTTCATTCATCACCCATTCATGCTCATGGAACTGACTTAACCATTTAGTTCTTCAAAATTCAGCAGCAGCAACAACAACAACAACAACGTCTTCATCTCACTAAGTGGGGTTGGCTGGATGAATGCTTTTTCTCAATAGTGTCCTATTGAGTGTCATATTTTCATTTAATTCTAATAAATTAAGATTATTTTTAACTTTTTGGGTCCACCTCTGCCTTTTCTTAACATAAGTTGAATCTAAAACATCTACTCAGGTAACCGAATCATCAGATAGTCAACATTCAAAGTGACCAAACCATCAGATAGTCTTTTTTAGTTCTTCAAAATTATTCTCTAGAAAAAAATGCAAAACTCTTAATCTTCTCACAATGATTTGAATTCCTCCATCACAAGTGTCATCACCATTAAATTTAATGGTACTAAGCATCTACAATAGTAAGGGACCTTTTGCCTCCATGTTAATCTCATGACAAACTTTATCAACTTGATGGGTCTCCTCTAGATCGCAATGACATCAAGTTTTTAAAATGGCAAGCATACGATAATGTTGTTCTTGCATTGCAAGCTTTAAAACACTGCCAAGAGATATGGGACTTTCTTCGTTCCACTAATTTTTACGATATCTTTAATATTTACAGCCTTTATTTTGATAATTTCCTTCTCCAGCATAATTTTCCCATAGAAGATACCCTGCCAGGTAAGCAGGACCATATATACTATCTATTTTTTATCCCTAAATTTGAATGAAATTAAAGGAAGATTTCTTGTTGCCAAATTCTTCTTGGACTTCATCTTTCATTCCAACATGTGCAGTCTCCAATGATAGCATATTCTATTTTCCCTAACATCATTGAGCCATTTATTCTCTCTTCATCAGTTTTTGACAAATTTGCTCTTGCCAAGAAGCATCATGAGAGTAACCTTCACAATAACGCAAAAAATCAATTTATCTTCCTCAAACATACCAAATTTGACCATGTTATCTTGGTAGCCTATGTAAACGACATCCTACTAACAGAGAGTATACAAATAAGTTACAAAAAAAATGGGTCCACTTCAATTTAACCCCTGGATTATACAAGATTGATCCAAAATGATCCATTTATCAAAGTAGGATTAATTCTATATCATGATTTCAATATGAGGGGTCATTTTTTTTAATTAATTTTGTATAATTGAGACGCTAAATTGAAGAATGTCATGCTATGGGCCTAAATTAACCACATAAAAATAGTTTGAATAATGTCTTAAGATTTCTTTCAAAGAAAATATTGTCTATAAAAGTATTTTTTTAACAAAGATCACAATCATCCTAAATACTTTTTAAGAATATAATCTACTTATAACATAACATTTTTCCTACCTCAAAGAAAATATTACCAACAATTTTTAGGAAACTATAATTTGGCTTGTAAAACTACTGTCACTCGATTGATATTTAGAATGTTGGCCAAATAAATTAAAAACAAATTAAACTCTCATTATTAGAGGTTGGTTAGGTTGATCTATCCTATTTTTCACAAGGCCAGACACCTTGACATCGATCTAGGATTCCTAGACAGTGTGTATGAATTGACAGAAGATACAATGAGGTTGTTGAGCGTGAAATGATAGAGAATCAGCGATGACAGCTGAAAATTCAGTGTCACTAGCGGTTGGACAACGATTATATAGGGCAAGACAACAAGTAGAGAGTGGTTGTGGATGGAAAAGTAAGTCTTCAGATGCCTTGGGAGAGTTCACCATCTAGACACAATTAGGTTACATACACACCACCTGAGAGGAGCAAAGGATACAACATTACAGCTATAGAAACAAACAAAAAAATCTCTAAATCGTCATAAAAAAAAAATTGAAGAAGACAAATGGGTTTCTAACAATGAAGAAGACAAATGGGTCTCAAAGCATTCCTTTCTGCTTCGTCGGCTCGCGTCCGTCTCGTCTGCTCGACGAGTCTGCTCGGCGTTGCTCGCTCGGGGTTCGTCTGCTCGACGAGTCTCAAATTTGCTTCGCATTTGCGTTCTTCTCGTGAAGCTTCTCACTGTTCCTGCCGCAACAACTTTGTTGTAGCTTAACTCCGACAACTCTCCTTGCCTTGTTTGGTTGAGCCGGACAAAGTCTCCTTTGCTCACGTGGTCGATAACCCTCATGTAGAATCCGCAGTGGGATTCCCTTCAAGTTATAAGGAATCTCGTGAGGGTACAGATAATTGTCCTTTTATTAAAAAGGGAAGCAGGAAAGACGGAAAAGATGCAATCTTTTTCTCTGAAACAAAAATTTCTACCCTGACGGAAAAATTCAAGTTTGCTCTTATTGGAAAATTTCAGTGGGGACACCCTCCTATGGAGGTTATCAGAAGAGTGTTGATGATCTTAAGCTAGTGGGCAAGTGGAAAGTGGGACTCATGGATAGTAGACGTGTTGATCCAACTAACAGTGGCTGAAGGCTACACCAAAATTTTCTTCAAGAAATATCTTAATATCGAAGGCAAATCAATGAAGTTACTCAAGTGGTCTCCCAATTTCGACCCAAATCATGAAACTCCCATTGTACCGGTATGGTTTAGTTTACCTGGTCTCAAGCTACATTTTTTTCACCATCAGACTCTCTACTCTATTGGGGCCATCCTTGGGGATCTTTTGAAACTAGATCTGCCCACTTTCAACCTAACTAGACCCTCATTGGCCAGAATACTTGTGGAAGGAGATATTACTTTACCAGATGTTACTGAAGTCTGGCTGGGCATAACCCATAATGGTTATTGGCAACAAATCGTCATGGAACACAAACCCCCGTATTGTACCCACTGTAATATGTTTGGTCATATCCTTGCTAAATGCCACAAATTTCATCCTAATTTGAAATCTAAGGGTCAAGTAAATAAGGATGGGTTTAACCCCACTGCTGTGGACATTTTAGCTCTACCTGAGGATGATACTACCAGACAGGAGGTGTCTGTTGCACCTGAGGACCCCCCCATGACACTGCTGTTACTGTTACTACGAGTGATGCGATGCTGGTACCTACAAACTCCATACAAAACAATTCTGATGGACTATTGCCTATAAATGATAGTGTTCAGACTGATAATCAGGTGAACCTCGCAGCTCCACTTCTTCAAGAAGTAACCGGTGTAGCGGCAACTCACACTTCTCATATTCTAGAACCTATTGTGGGTACTACTGTTCCTTCCGGTTTAGCTCTACCTCATTAGGCGGATTCTTCGGAGGAATGACAAATTTATACTTCCAGGAGGAAGAAGAAGAATGAAGATCTACTAGAGTTCAGGAGTCTTGTGGATGATACTTTGATTACTACGGGTAATTGTTAGCACCTTACCAATCTGCTAACTGGATCACTACCGAAAACTAAAGCCAGAGACAAGATTAAATTGGGATGACCCACACTTTTTCAGCGCCCGAGTTGTTTTGGGTTTCTTTTCATTTCTATATGTACCAATCTTTTACATTTTTTGGTGTGTGTTGTATCGTGTGGGTTAGGTGATTAGACCCACCCATACAAACCTACTATATCTTTATCTTTAATATATCAGCTCTTGGGCTTTTTTTTTAAAATAAATAAATAAATAAATATATATATATATATTCAAAAGAAATCGATATTTAGGATGGACTAAATCATCCCCTAAATATCGGTTCCCCATATGTGCTAATTCTACCTCGGGGGGATTCAAACTTGTGATAGAGAGGACTTATGCCTAAGTCGCCTTCTAACAGACCGCAGTTGCACGCGCGCGCGCGAGATATATATATATATATATATATATATAACATATATATTATAAAAAAACGATGTGCCTTCCTCTTCTGCTAGGGTTTCACCTCATGGCAAACCCTAGAGTCTCCTACTTCGATATCTCTCACGTCTCTGCTTCACCTTCGTCGTCGGCTTCTCGCGTTGTCAGCCGCTTTATGCTATTTCGGCGGATTGCGCCCTGTTCGCTGCAGGCGTTAGGGCGTCATTTCTGCTTGAGCTGATTTCGCAAGGCTCTTCAAAGGGTTTCCGCTCCTTGTCTGTTTGCTGCAGGCTGAAGGGCGTCGTT